TTCATCTCCCCTCTCTGCCATCATCTTCTTCCGTGCTTCATTTCTTTTGTGCTTCTTACCAACATAATGTTGATGGGCCATCAGTGGGTTATTGAAGGGAGCGGAGCAGAGCTTGCAATACTTGTCTGGATCATTTAAATCCAAAGCAATACTAGAGGATGACGTGGATTCCTCAGCATCCGGATCCTGGGAGAGCTTCTCAGTGGTCCCCTCTCTGCCATCATCTTCTTCCGTGCTTCATTTCTTTTGTGCTTCTTACCAACATAATGTTGATGGGCCATCAGTGGGTTATTGAAGGGAGCGGAGCAGAGCTTGCAATACTTGTCTGGATCATTTAAATCCAAAGCAATACTAGAGGATGACGTGGATTCCTCAGCATCCGGATCCTGGGAGAGCTTCTCAGTGGTGGGCTGCGGTAGTGCCAGAGATGTAGAAGGACCAGAGGGGGAACCTGTTAATAGCACAACAAATGAAAGTCTGAAAAACAGTTCTTTGGAACCATGTAAATATGAGTATTACACTACTGCAGCCGAAAAGTGAAAGCAGCAGCCCTGTGGCTTCCAGACTACCCTGTTCAAGAGAGAACATAATCCTCAAGCTCTCTCATCTCACAAAGGAGAATGGGCTCACCAGACAAGTGAGCTTTCTCTCACAACCAAATCACCTACTTTCAGCTCTTGCAGGTATACTGAGTGGGTGGCATGGAAACAAGAAAGGTGTGTTAGGTTTCAATCCTGGGTCCTGCTCAAGGTGTTAGTACATGTTCCTGGATTGATTTGCGTAATAATTAGTAACACTACTTTGGCAATTAGTATAATGCCTGCTGCGGGCTGCAATCAACCCTCACAATACCCCAAGAATACAAGTGTTATTTGCATTTCACAGATGGAGAAATGGAGACATCTGCCTACAGCCACCATCAGTGGAAGAGCAGGGATTATAATTCAAAGGTCCCTGGCTCCCAGTCCTTTGCTATATTCTCTGAGCAATAACATCTTCATTCTTTTACTTCCTGGCTGCATCTTGAGTTGTCACACCATCTGCCATACTTCAATACACTGCAAAGGCACAGAGAAGTAGTAGGGCTGGGAAGATGATCAATTCTTCACTTTATCTGGCTCAGAGAAGTGACAGTAAAATACATGCACCATGTAGGATACAGAACCCACTTAGTGCTCACCTGTTTGTGACTGAGTGGTCTGTGCAGGCATCTGAGGTTGGTCTCCTGATAACTGCTTCAGCTTTTTGGCATGTATTTTCCCCAGGTAATGAGACTGAGCAACAACCGGAGAAGTAAAAATCATGTTGCAGAGACTGCAATATTTGTTTTTGTCCACTGCTCCACTCCCATCAATCTGAAACCAATAGCAAGCTCAATTACAAGGGTTCAACAATGAAGGGCTCATTTAACATCTTAGCTACAGATCTGAAGAGGAAAAGTCACCTGAAAGTTCACATAATCTGGTCTCTTCTGTTTGCCAGGCTCTTGTACGTCCTCTTGTTCACTGCGCATTTGGAAATAAAGGCGAACTTTCTGAGCATGCTTTTTGCCCTGAAAAGAGAAGAATTATTTCTCGCCCATTAACAAGGACCCATGTGCTGACTTACGCAGAAATTAAGATTTGTTCAGTCAAAATCTGAGAATGCCCCTTCATGGACCCTGGAGAGAACAGGAAGCTCTGCACTTCCCTCAGCATGCTCAGAACACTTGCAGCTCAGCAGTAAGGCAATGATTATAATCTAAATCTCATGCTTCCTGGCTTTAGCTGGTCGCCTGTGACAGCCAGGAAGAAATCCTGCTCCTTCTCATCCTCAAATCACAACTGGCCAGATGTATTCTGGGTTGGGGGCGAATGTTTGCTTTTTTGTCTTTTGTTTTGCCTTCCTCTGAAATATCAGGGATGGACCACAGCTGGAGAGAAGATCCTGATGCTCTGATGTGGTTCAGATAATCTTCTCAGCAGATTGGTTTTGCTCAGGGTCAAACTGGTTTCCAGATTTGTCAAATAATCTTAATGATAGTGCCAGTCTGTTACTAGGTGGAAATAGTAGAATTATCAATAATGATGCAGAAAAAGCTGACTTGTTCAATAAAGATCTGTTCCATATTTGGGGAAAAACACAGGATGTAGTCATATATCAAACAATGACACTTGTTCCATTCAACTAGTATCTCAGGAGAACATTAAACAGCAGCCACTAATGACAGGCATATTAAAATCAGCAGGCCACTAGATAACAGTGTTGAAGGACTTCTACCACCTTTTAATTAAAAAATTAGAATATAAAATTAACATAGTACTTAATAGGTTAAAAGCTGGTCTCAAAATTCAATTGTAAGTGGGGAATCATTATAGAGTGAATACGTTATAGTGGGCCCCTGCAGGGATTGGTTCTTGGACCCATGCTATTTAACATTTTTTGTTAACAATCTGTAAGAACACAAAGTCACTGCTGATAAAGTTTACAGGTGACACAAAGATTGGGGAATGGTGAATAATGAAGTAGACAAATCTCTGATATAGAGCAATCTGGATTGATTGCTAAAACTGGATGCAAGAAAACAATGTGTGTTTTAAATCCGGCAGATATAAATGTATACATCTACGAACAAAGAATGCAGGCCATATTTATAGAATGGGGAACTCTATCTTGGGAAGCAGTAACTCTGAAAATGAGGTTAGGTGGTTGTCTATAGGAGACTATGTGTCTCTCTCCCCCCTAACCTCAAGATGATTCTTACCAACCACCACAGGACATACCACACTAATACCAACCCTGGTACCTTCCCTTGCAACAAACCCCGTTGCCAGCTTTGTCTACATATTCATTCTGCTGATACCATTATTGGACCTAACCAAGTGAGTTATAAGGTCAAGAACACATATTCCTGCGCATCCAGAAATATAATCTATGCTATCATGTGCCGAAAGTGTCCATCTGCTTTGTAGATTGGACAAACATCTCAGACACTTCGCCAAAGGATTAATGCCCACAAAACAGATATCAGACAAGATCACAAAGAGAAAACAGTTTCTTGCCATTTTAACCAGAAAGGACACTCTCTCAATGACTTAACCACCTGCATTCTGCTACAAAGACCTTTTACATCTGCACTTGAAAGGGAATCCTCTGAACTGTCATTCATGTTAAAATTCGACACTTTCCAAAAAGGACTCAACAAACATTTGAACTATCTCACCCATTACCAAGATAGTTTCCCCAATTATCACCTCTAATACCATTAACTCACAAACATCCCCCTCTCCCTACCTCTAATATCATCAATTCACAGACACTTACCTTCCTTCCTCCTCCCCCCCCCCACCCCGCATCCCCCCCCTGTTCTGCAATGTGATTTGTCCTTTTCCTATTTGTTCATTTTTTTTAGTTGTATCCTTTGGTATATATGGTTGTGACTACTTTCTTCCACTATTTGATCTGAGGAAGTGGGTCTGGCCCACGAAAGCATATCATCTAATAAACCATCTTGTTAGTCTTTAAAGTGCTACATTGTCCTGCATTTTGGTAAGTCTAATGTCAATATCGGACAAATTAGTTGAAACGATAGAAAAGAATAAAATGGTTAGACACATAGATGAACATAATTTGTTGGGGAAAAGTCAACATGGTTTCTGTAAAGGGAAATCATGCCTTAGTAATCTACTAGAGTTCTTTGAGGGGGTCAACAAACATGTGGACAGGGGGATCCAGTGAATATAGAGTATTTAGATTTCCAGAAATCCTTTGATAAGGTCCCTCACCAAAGACTCTTAAGTAAAATTAGTTGTCATGGGATAAGAGGGAACGTCTTTCATGGATTGATAACTGGTTAAACGATAGGAAACAAAGGGTAGGAATAAACGGCATGTTTTCAGAATGGAGAGAGGTAACTAGTGGGATCCCCCAAAGGTCCATATTGGGTCCAATCCTATTTAACCTATTTATAAATGATATAGAGATGGGGTAAACAGTGAAGTGGTAAAATTTGCACATGTCCCCAAACTGCTCAAGATAGTTAAGACCAAAGCAGATTGTGAAGAGTTTCAAAAACATCTCACCAAACTAAGTGATTGGGCAACAAAATGGCAAATTAAATTTAATCTTGATAAACGTTAAGTGATGCACACTGGAAAAAATAATCCCAAAAATGGGAACTAATTTAGCTATAACTACTCAAGAGAGATCTTGGGGCCACTGTGGATAGTTCTCGGCTACTGCACATTGAGTGGATGTTTTCAGTCAAAAAAGCAAACAAAACGTTAGAAAACATTTAAAAAGGAGACAGAGAATAAGACAGAGAATATCTTATTGCCTCTGTATAAAACCATGGCATGCCCTCATCTTGAATACTGCATACAGATGTGGTTATCTCAAAAAAGATGTATTGCCATTGAAAAAGGTTCAGAAAAGAGCAACAAAAAGTATTTAGGATTTGAAATGGTCCCCTATGAAGAGAGATTAAAAAGACTGGGATGGGACTTTTCAGCTTAGAAAAGAGAAGACTAAGGGGGATTATGATAGGTCTTTAAAATCATGACTGACGTGGAAAAATGATTAAGGAAAAATTATTTACTTGTTCCCATAACATAAGAACCAAATGAAATTAATAGGTAGCAGGTTTAAAAACAAACAAAATGAAGTTTTTCTTCATGCAGGGTCATCCTTGCCAGAGGATGTTGTAAAGACCAGGACTTTAACAAGGTTAAAAAAGAACTAGATACATTCATGGAGGTTAGGTCCATCAATGGCTAATAGCCAGGATGGGTAGGAATGGTGTCCCTGGCCTTTGTTTCTCACAGGCTGGAAATGGATGACAGGAGAGGGATCATGTGATGATTACTACTCTGTTCACTCCTTCTGGGGCTTCTGGCATTGGCCACTGTTGGAAGACAGGATACTGGGCTAGATGGACCTTTGGTTTGACCCAGTATGGCCATTCTTATGTGTTGGCAGGGAGCCAGGAGAGCCAATAGGAGAGGGTGTTGAAATATGAATTGAAAAGATATACCTGCTTGCTGTTTTTCTTTGTGGGAATTTTAAGCTAGAAGCTGAGGAAACAAGATGAATTGAACCAGGCAGAACTACCATGCCTACAAGGTAATGGAAATGAACTAGACCTTGAAGCACAGATAGTGAGTAGACAGGAAAATGTTTAATTAGTCATGATCAGGTTATTTTCTTTGTCTTGTTGTTTGCTTAAACTTCTCTGTACTAAGTCTATGTGCCGCCCCATACACCGCATCTAAGCTGTAGCCCTGCAACAGCATTTTTCTCTGTTTTAATCTGTTCTTTTCTCAGTTGCTCTGTAACACCTAGCAACCAAGTATGCTTTATCAAGTATATTTTTTTGTTTTGTTAATAAAATCACCTTTTTTAAGGAGATAATTTGATTCGTATGTCCTGGAAGGTAAGAGGAAGTCCGTGTACGGATGTCTAAGACTGAGAGTAGGTCTACACTACAGCTGTTTTTTGGAAAAAGCTATGCAAAATGCGCTCTGCATTTTGCATAGCTTTTTCTGATTTTTTTTTTTTTTCAGAAGAGGCTTTTCCAGAATTTGGCCTGTCTTCACTGGGCCAAATTTTGGAAACGCCCCCTCTTTCGGAACATCCCTTCTTCCTCATGGAAAGAGGAAGACAGGGCTTCCAAAAGAGTGCGTTTTCACTGCCGCAAAAAAAAAAAAACAAAAACAAAAACAAAAAACCCAACACCAAAGCAGAAGAGCAAACGCATTCCCTGGATGCAGCAGAGTTTTTCTGGGACACCTCTCGGTATCCTGGAAATCCCCCACAGTGTAGATGTACCCTCATGAGAGGTCAGATATCAGAGACTGCAGTTTGTTTTCTCTTTTTTCTTCATGCTCTCTTGTGGTAAAAGAGCTTGGAGACACCAAGGGAAGCTGAAGCTCTTGTTCCTGGGTCTAAGAAGAAGGCTTTTTATTTTAAACTTGATGGTGACAGCCTATCTCGAAAGACCAGGGAATCAGTGACACCGGGGAGCTTTTAAGCAGAAGCCTATACAGGCAAGGTAGATTTAAAGTCTCTTGCAGGCCCCCACCTTCTGTACTTAAGAGAGGGGAATAGCCTTGACATGGACAAAGACTGTTGGTATAATATTTATTAATAAATAATGCTAATACGTAGCACTTTTATAGGGACTCCCATTCAAGGATCTAAACGCAGATAGTTACCAGTTAATCCTCACCTTAGTGCATTAAAGCATCTCTTCCATCTCTCTATAAAATATGGGGCTCCTGAAGCCTAGACAGTCTTAGAAACAAACATAGGATCACAGAGAATGTCTATTGCACAATGAAGACTAGGACCCAGCTCTCCTACTTCCCAGCCTTGTGGCTTATCCACAAGGCCATTTTGCCTCACAATAAGAAGGATCCTATTCCTTTTTAATTCTCAGGTGCCGTCCCACACCACACTCTGTCCTGGTAAGTTCCATGATACAGTAGTCACCTGTTGGCCAAAATGGCATTTGCTTGCTCTGAGCTGATACTATCCAAATAGATGTCACGGCTTCAGAGGAACAATCCCCAGGCTGCCACCAAAGAGAACAAGATCCCGCTATGCAGAAGTTCGATGTTGGCTGAAACATCGATTAAGAGAACACTCTCAGGATGTGAAGTTGCCTTTTCCCTTGCAATGGTGAAGTCATTAGGGACTCCTGAGGATACTGTCTCCATCCTCAGCTGAGGCAGATTCAACAAAGGATTGCAAAATCCAGAGCAATGGTGGGTTCTTAGCTGACATTAACTATCTGGGTTCAAAGAGCAGTGAAGATGCAGCAACTCAGGGTAGAGCTGCAGTTCAACCCCAAGCTCCCCAATAAAAGCTTTAAGCTGAGTTGCTAATCTAAGACAAAAGCTGAATTGCCATGTCTTCATTGTTATTTGAACCCGAGTTAAGAACACACTTTTTTTTTTTTTTTTTTTTAAGTGAAGACATATCCCCAAATTGAGAAACTCATGCTGAAGCTTGATTCTGATGCGGTGCTGAGTAACTTGGACTCCAACTGAAATGAACAGGAGTAAAGGACAAATCCAAGTCCTAAGTTTCTTGTAAATAACAATAAGGAACTGTCAAAGAAGTTGACATTCTGAACATCTTTAACTTGTGAAGAGGATGTATTGCTTTGGCTGAAACTGGAGGAAATAAGAGTGCTTGGAAACCTCTACACATACAAGGGATCTTGTGTAAAGGTGAAGTACACTGTATGACCTATACAATATTCACCCAAAGTATTTATTAGTTCCAAGATAAATAGTCTTTGGCATGATTTGTAGTTCACTGTATATTTTGTGATCTATGCAGAGCGTGCATACAACCCTTCAGCTGCAGTAACTGATCCAGATAGTCACAGCATTCAACTCTGGTCACCATTCAATCATGATGGTAGGTCTTGGATAACACACTACAAAATCTGTAAGTGACCCTTAGGCAATACAATCAGCATTGAAAAAAAAAATACAGGTTGTATTATACAGGAAAATACTGAGATATCCTTGGGGCCTACCTCATAGTGTGAAATTCTTTGTGACTCAAACTGCAGCACAGCTCCACACACTTTACAGAAAGTGTCTGTGAAAAGGTCTTTTCTTGTTGCCTCGTCCAAGGTAACACCTAAAATCAAAGGTTAAAGAGAAAAGCATTCAGTAGCTAGGCCAAGATTTCCATTCCTTTACTTAAGAAAAATTCCAGCTGCTGTTGATGATCACATAATTACATCTAATGAGAGATGATAAAACAAAGAGCCATTTATTGAACTGTGATATATTAAAGCAAAAGAAAAAAAATCCACCACACAGAGCTTGGTTGTTTTCAAAGGACTATTGGAAAGCTGCCTAAACCAACTCATCCACAAATCTGCTGGTCTAGGGGACCTTCAAAGTACTAGTTACAGAAAACCGTTAGTGTACCTGGCTCTTATAAAAACAAAGAGACAGAAAAGACTCTGCCCTGAGGTATTTTGAGTCCAACTGTTTCCAATCCATCTGACCTGGAAAGGAAAGGAATGAGAAGAGGCACTTAAATAGCACTCAAGTACTACGCAAGTCCTGTTCTAGCCCTCTGTGTGGGAAGTGTTAGCAAAAGAAGCACATTTTAAAGGAGAGCCATCAAGGAAGATGAAGTTGCTAGATATATGAAGAGAGGAAGGCAGTGAGGCCTTGTCAAAGTAGGAAAGTTGCACTAGTTTATCTTTGTTTTTTTAACCGATTTTGTTAAATTGGAACAAATACGTAAATATTATTTTCAGTTTAAGAGTGGTTAGTTCTCATTTAGTTTAACCCTGCTCCTAGTTGATTTAGGCTGGTCTACACTTGAAAGTAAATCTGGATTGAGTTGGGGTGTGAATTTAAAGCACAGTAGCTGTTCCATGTGTGGACACACTTGTCTCAGAACAAGAGTATTTTACACCAGTTTAGCTTAATCCAAGGTTGACTGTGCTTTAAAAATTCAAACTTTAGCTAAATCTGAATTATCAAGTACAGATAAGTTCTTGAACTAAACAACAAAAAATCCATTCTGAAAATGAAGTAAGACTGTCATAACAGCAGGGTACATTGGTTTCACTAAATGGGCTTAAATTCACATCTCAGTTTCAAGATTCTTGTGTCAACAAGCTCTTACACGGCAGCAAGGAAGAAGATATAACAATAGGGTTGTCAGGTGTCCGGTATTCACCTGGACAGTCCAGTATTTTCGGCTCCTGTCTGGTAAAAAAAATTCAGAGAATATTGGACACCTGAGATGTCCTGTATTTTCTGAATTTTTCCCTGGCCAGGAGGTGAAAATGCCGGGCACCTGGCAACCTACAAACATTCAGCATCTGACCTCCCCCTCAAGCCCCTCCCTGGCCCCCAACACCCTTGCTTACCTGGTTCCCCAAGGATTCCGGCACAAAATGACTGCTGACCAAAAGACCTAGGGGAAGCAATGCTTCCCCTGGGTCTTAGTGCTCAACTGCACCGCTGTTCCTATCCCTGCACTCACTGTTAAAGGGGACATGCTGTTTTGTTTTATTTTATTTTGGCTTAAGTCCTTGGAGTCCTTTTTCTTTTTTTTCTTTTGCTCAACAACTTTGGCCTCTTCCCCCCTCCTTCAACAAAATATTTTCCCTTTTGGGGGGGGGGGGGGGGGTTGTTCAGTATTTTTGTTTCAACCATCTGCAACCCTATATAACAAGTGCAGTTAAGAGGGTAGCTTGGGAAGAGGAGAGGAGGAAATAGAGAAGACACTGCGGGGCAGTGCCAGGAACTGACTGGCAGGGCCCTGAAGATCCCAGTAAGGAGACTGAAGAAAACAAGAGGAGCAAGCTTTAATGTCTCCACTAAGGGGTGCTCTCATAAAGAGAGGAAATGTCCCTTGGGGATTTGAGCCATCAGTGAATCTGCAGCTGCCATTCATCAACAGGAAAGGAACATCCAGGGGAGCATGAGAAAGGAATGCAATATTTGAGGCAGTATATCCAGGAGCACTGGGGATTTAAAAGACCAGGTGGGTAGCCAGATATCCTCTATGGCCACAAATAATAGGAGAGGTGTTTGGTCTAGGACAGTGTTTCTGAAAGTGTTCCACAAAACCACTTTGAGAAACACATTAACTGGCCACCCCCGTTTGTTTATTTACTGGCGCTGTGGCCACGGAGCCTCACGGCTCCCACTGGCTCTGTTTCGCTCCTTGTGGCCATGGGGAGCCACGGGAAGCAGTGTGGGCCGGGCCACCGCTTCCTGCTGCTCTACTTGGCTGCAAAGAGTGCAACGGACCCAATGGCAGCAGCATGGGGTGGCAGGCAGATGGTTTGCATGGGGAGCTGGTTTGCATGGAGCACATGGACCAGCTCCACCTGACACCCAGCACTGCTGCCTCTGATAGAGAGGCAGTAGTGTGAGGTGACAGGGGACTGCCTGGGAGTGGAGCTGGGAGCTCAGAGCTCACTGGCTGCTGGCCCTGCCCCTGGAGACTATCGAATAGTTGTGTAACCGCTAAGACTTCATGCAGTTACGCAACTAATCAATTACACAATATGTAATGTCCTTAGTCAAAATACCCCTTTTTAAAATGATTGTTTTTAGACATATTCAAATATTTGTAGTAATCAAGTATTCATCTACAACCTATGACTGAACTGACACAGTTGCAGTCTCCTCATTGAAAAGGGACATCATTCGGGACTCTTGCAGAATGGAAACCTGAAGCATGTGACTATAAAACCCACTTTCCATGTTACTTTAATATCAGTTCAACAATCCCAAAGAAGAGCTTCTACAACAAAGTCTCAATGCACTCACTCAAGTTGAGGCTTTGCAGATGCACAAGTCTGTATTATTTTATCTATGCACATGAACAGCCCTGCCTTGCACACACCCATTGGTTGATCTATAACTGCAATTTCATGGGCACAGACCTTTAGTACAGACCTTTAAAAAGGTGAGTCTCTTGGGTTGGGTTTCCACAAAGGCTATATGTCAAATGTTGCTCTTCAGCAAGATGCACGCCACCAGCTGTTGACTCAAAATACTATTTCCAAAGAAAAACTTTATTTTCAAAACACTTTTCATGGGTTATACTGGCCAGATGCTTAATTCTAATCATGCTCTTTCTTTTTCTAGCACCATCCATCCAATAAGCGTAAAGCACTTGGAGATTCATGATGTATTTAGTTTCATCCCTGTCAAATGGAGAGTTACATGACTCGCTGCAGGCCACACAAGAAGTCCAACGAAGAGCTGGGAAGAGAGCCAAGATTTTATGATTCTCAGCTCTGCACTTTAGCACAAGCCTACCTTAAACCTAAAAAAGTTATGAACTTTCAACAAAACTTGATCAGTTTGCTTTAAGGCTCTTTATTCTACATAATTAGCAAAAGCACTGAACTATAAAGGGAATATCTACACTAGGGAAATAAATATGAAGCAGAACAAACTGGAATGTAACTGAATATGTGAGATATTACCACAGGCAATGGCTACTTTATCTCCCCTTGAGAAAATATTTGCAATCTTTTTGCTTTGAACAGAGAAACTTGGACGATCTTCACTTGCTGCACCGCAGATCAATCTTCTAGTGTTCAACTTAGTGGTCTAGTAAGGACCCATTAAATTGAATGCTGAAGGCACCCTTGTTAGCGCCAGCACTCCTACTCCTTGCCACAAGAAAGGGAAGCCAATGGAAGCATTCACTCCTGTTGATTTCCCACTGTGGAGACGGCGCCAAGCTCAGTTTAAGGTACGTCAACTCCAGCTATGTTATTTACATAGCTGGAGTTATGTATCTTAAGCTGACCTTCTTGGGCTACCACAGAGCTGGTCTTAGACACAACACACGGGTGTAGAACACAATGGAAGGGGCATGAAGACAACTGTGACAGTTACAGGAATACAAGGTTGCATAAGGTAACGGTGGGTCTACATTTAAAAAAAAGGCTCCTGGCCAATTAAATTAAATGCTTACTGTCATTATTTTATATATCAAAAAGAATATAGCAGTGTCAAAAGATCTAAAAGTCACACACAGGAAGAAAAAAATCCAAGTGTTGATTCAATTATGTATAATGTTAGATATTTGTGCATTTCAGCAGAACCGTTGAAACTAATCAAATGCTATAAATTTAAATCCCCAAGTCCCACAAATAAGTTATTAGAAGGGGTTGGAGTCCTAAAGCAGAAAGAAAAGATGAATCTAGAGATGGATTCAGAAGAGGCAAAGAGGTGAGAAAATGAGAGTAGAAATATTTACTATTACTGAAAGTCTGCTCTGTATTTCCTCATTATTGCTGAATAATCCAGAGGCAGGTACATTAATAAAACTCTTTAAAAAGGGGCCTAGCAGAGAAACAGAACCATAGGAAAATGGAAGGAACAGAACAGCTGTCTTTCAACTGTGAGCACTTGGCAATGGACTCCAAAGATTTGACTAACTGCACATTGCTAACCTTCCTCCGAAGTTTGTAGATGTTATATCATATGCTGTTACAGCTCAGTTCCCCAGTCTGACACTTCAAGTGTAGATATGGGGGCTGGTTAGCAGAATAAACTCTGTAAGAACCTGACTCACTCCCCAGAGACAAACTTGTCCAGTCTCAGTTTTCCTGAGACCCATAAAATTGGTTGCTGCCACCACACAACAGAGTTAAAAAAATACAAAATAAACCCTTTTCCAGGGAAATCCCTTCCCTAAGGCAAAGCTCTCCCCACTGTCCCAACCTCCATTTTGCTTGGAGCTGGGAAAACAAACAGAGGGAATGTGCAAAGAATGATGGGATTCTGCTCCTCCAGGTAACTCAGGGAGGTAGGCTTAAGGACACAACAATCAACCAATATCGGTTAATCACAACAAGACGGAAAACACTTTTATCATCAAAACAGAACTACTGTTGTAAGCATAGTAAATGACTAGGTGTTAAAAGCCATGGAGTGAATTAGACTCTGGGGAAATCCCTGGGTTGTAATCCTCAATTACAAAAGAGAAAAACAATTAACCAGCTCAGAGATGATTTCCAAACCCACAACCAAGGAAAATAATAAAACCTGACAGACTATCTAAACTTTTCCCTACTTACACATTTCCAGGAGTCCATTCCTAGGAGAGCTAACTCCCTTGTTACTTGGGGGAAAAACTGCTCTGATCTCAAACAAAAGAAAGAAAAAAAATCCCCTCACTGAAATTCCAATCTGCATTTCATTGGCTGAATGCCCGAAGCCCCCTCCTTCAGGTGCATTTCCAGAATTGCTTACCCCTTTCCTCACTCTTCAGATAAGTCAGACTCTCCTTAGCAGCTCCTATGCAGGACATAGGTCTATAATTAGTTGTTCTACTTGCCACCAAGAATGTGCAATTGTGATGAGAGAAGATGTGGATTAGATGACAGTGAATGAGAGTGTTCATGTTCCCAACACCTATTCAAATGTGACTGTGCTCCATGCTATGAAAGAATATGACAACTCCCAAAGGACAATTTAAGCACACTGACACCCTGTAGTACATGCCATCCTGAACTTCAGCTCTACTTGACTGAGCACTGACTTAGGCATCATGCCCTGCATGCAATTTATGAACAATAATATTTATGAGCACACACATTGCTGTGCTTCTAATGTAGATATAACTACATGGATGGCCTATTCACCCAAAATATTTACTGCCTTTTTACATCCTTGTTACTGAAGTTTACTAGATATCAATGTGTTGAATCGGGTCTCAAAGGCTATGTCTACACAGCAACATTATTTCAAAATAATTAGTGTTATTTTGAAATGACAGTTCATGTTTACACAGCGGGCAGTTATAATGTCGAAATACTGTCAAGCTGGAGGACTTCTTTCTCCGACTCCTGTAACCCTCATTTTATGATGAGTGAGGGAAGTTGGAGAAAGAGCGCTTTATTTCAAAATAAGTGCTGCGTAGATGGCACCAACACTCAAAATAAAGCTATTTCAAAATAAGCTACACAACTGATGTAGCTCAATCCGCGTAACTTATTTCAAGTTTGGCCAAAACACCAACAATGACAACACCTTTCCCTGCATAACTGGCTGGATAACTGTTCTCAAAGAAAAACTTAAAAAACAACAAATAGTTAAGTTTCACAATGGGAAGTGATTGTCTAGGAAGGAGTACTGCTGAATGCGATTGGGGATCATAGTGGACTACAAGTTAAACATGAGTCAACAGTGTGACACTGTTGCAAAAAAAGCAAACATGATTCTGGGATGCATTAACAGGAGTGTTGTGAACAAGACACGAGAAGTCATTCTTTCATTCTACTCTGTGCTGATTAGGCCTCTGTTGGAGTACTGTGTCCAGTTCTGGGCACCACATTTCAAGAAAGTTGTGGAGAAATTGGAGAAGGTCCAGAAAAGAGCAACAAAAATGATTAAAGGTCTAGAGAACATGACCTATGAGGGAAGACTGAAAGAACTAGGTTTGTTTAGTTTGGAAAAGAGAAGACCGAGAGGGGACATGATAGCAATTTAAGTAACTAAAAGGGTGTTAAAAGGAAGAGGGAGAAAATTATTCTCCTTAGCCTTTGAAGATAGGACAAGAAGCAATGGGCTTAAATTACAGCAAAGGAGGTTTAGGTTGGACATTAGGATAAACTTCCTAATTGTCAGGGTGGTTAAACACTGGAATAGATTGCCTAAGGAAGTTGTGGAATCTCCATCACTGGAGATATTTAAGAGGTTAGACAGACACCTGACTGGGATGATCTAGATGGTGCTTGGTCCTGCCATGAGTGCAGAGGACTGGACTTGATGATCTTTCAAGATCCCTTCCAGTTCTATGATTCTATGCCCAGTTATGAGAAAAGACGTGAACTGATACTGTAATAACAGTGGATATGGACATGTAAAAGCTAGTTGCAAGGAAGAGCGCTTAAAGGCTGATAAATAACAACGGCACTGAGATGACTCCAGAGAAACACAGTGCTGCCATGGCTCAATTCATATATATCCCAGACTCAGAATTCTGGCATGCAAGTCAGTTATTACATTTTTCAGGGTAACTCTACATTAATAAGGAGAACCCATTGGACCAAACCAATGGGTTTATGCTTAAGGCAAAACGTGCAATTAAACGAGTTTAGCTGGACCTTATTGTAGTCAGCTGTAAAGTATGCTACTGTGAAATAAGGATGTTAATGGTTAATCAGCAGGCCTCACCCTTAATACCTGGGGCTTACTGATTATGGTTAACCAGTGGGGGCTGCAGCAGCCCTGCAGTGCCTGCCACAGGAAGGAGGTACTCAAGCGCAGCCAGATGAGCTGCTGACCACAGTGGGCACGGCCCTGGTGTGCTGCAAGCAAGGGTGCTATAGCCCAGCGAGAGCGGCCTCCAGGTAGCTGTTTCAGTCCCGTTCAATCAGTTGCACCTAATGTTTAACCAATTAGCTAATTAAAATGGGATTTTACATGTATTACTCCTTGGAAAATAGTGTAGATGAACACTTATTTCAGAATAACATCAGTTATTCCAAACTAACGCTGCTGTGTAGACATACCCTTAAGAGACTAACAAAAATATATATAGTATCATAAGCTTTCATGGGCAAAACCCACTTCTGCAGATGAGCTGGAAACAAACAGGAACCCAGAATTTATAACAGAA